TGTCCCTAACTATTTCTTTTCTTTCTTGTAAGGTTCGTTTGGTTAGAAGAAAATTTATGACGGAAAGTGAAGGTGAAAGAAAGTGAATTGAAATAAAATAAAATTAATTTTCCATCGTTAGTAAGAATTTTTTGAAGAAAGTTGTAAAAATAAATTATTTTGTTAGTTTAGATAACATGAAAAAGAAAAAATAAAATAATTCTACTTATCACAAAATACCCTTATAATTTCAAATATTAAAAATTTAAATAAAATTGTGTTATATGAATTATCTTTATATTCAATGGTTTATTTTAGCAAAGAAATATTAAAATATGGATTACCATATATATTGTCGTGGTTTCATGTTTTGTGTTACCAATGAATATGATAGCAATCGTAAGTTGTAATTGTTTCAACAGAATAAGTGCTTGATTTATATATATACATATATATATATATAAATATACTCTCAACAATTATAACTATGAAAGAAGAAAAAAATATATCAATTTTGTATCAACATACAAAAAATATAAATAGTTGCATTAGTATTCCATGATCATATAAACTCAATAATTTACATAAGAACAAGACTTCACCTTCAGTGAACAGGACGGACCCAGAGCATTAGGTGGGGGTGGGGGTGGGGGCAAATATGAATTTTTTAATAATTTTAAGTAGGCAATAGCAATATTTTGTGGGTATATAGTGGGAAAAGAAAAAAATAACAAGGTATATTTATAAAAATAAAATAAAAAATTCAAGGGGCCAATTGCTCCCTGAAATGCATGTAGGTCTGTCCATGTGAAGTTTGTGAAAAGAAGATAGATGAATATTGACTTGGGGCTGAATAGCAAAATAACATGTAGAACCACACTCTTCCTGAGAAAGTACTATTTTTTCGTGTTTTATGCGAGAAATGATTTGAAGAAAATTCATAAGATGCAGGAATCGTATTTTCTTCAAAAGTATCACTTCTATCTAACCAAACTCTCAAAAGAATTTAATTTTTTTTTGTTTTTTTTCCTTTATAATTACTTCACCCTGACGAAACAAATCCGCAGTGATATTAAATATAGTAACAATCACATTATAAACCGACTTTTCTCCTTTATTTCAAATTTTCTAATAGAGAAAAATAATTTTTCTCCTCATTTTATTTATTTAAAAAGTAACATAACCAATTGCTTCTGCTAATGAACTTTGAGGAGAAATTATGGAACCAAATGTATTTAGGAAAAATCATGGAACCAAATGCATTAGGAGAAGTTAACCAAAAAATTATTTATGTAACCAAATGTATCAAAACATGAAAGTTTTACATCAAAACAAACAAAATGCCAAGTTGTTTCTTCAAATGTTAGTGTATCAAATAATTAAAGTTTGTGCCTTCGAAGTAAGATGACTTGTAGGCTTGTAGCTTTCCTTCAAAACATAGATTAAAAAGCAATAAATCATTTTAATGTTGACAAACTTTAATTTGCCATTTACAGGAAATGAAAACAACTACTTGACGTTACTTCAATAATTTAGCCACTAGCTGCTAAATTCCAAGGTCAGCTACATATATTTATCATCTTTTTAGTCATCTAACTAATCAATTTAGCAACTGAAAATGATTTTGCTGCAGGTTGCATGAACACAACTTGCAGAAACATCCAACTATTAAAATGTCATTTTCTACTTACGTTTTTCAAATCATTTTTGGATTATACGAAATCACTCGTGCTATTAAAAGAAAACGATCGATAATACTCACAATCCACAAAAATGCTATCATTTCATTTTATTCATTATTGTTTTTTAAAGAAATTACACGAATTAAAGCTCTTTAAAGAAAAACTATTGACTAACGGTCGTAATCAAGTGATATTTTCTCATCTTTCAAATAGAAAATTGAAGTCACAGGGACATGTGGATGCAGGACGACCCAGACCATTAAGTGAGGGGAGGCAATAATGATATTTTCTAATAATTTTAGGGGAGTAATAGTAATATTTTAGGGGTATATAATTAAATAAAGACTAATTTAATAAGGTATATTAGTAAATATATATATATATAAAAAATCAGTCACTATGAAAATATTGCGTATGTGGTGAAATATGAAAAAAAAAAAATTTAGTGAACTTCAAACAAATAATTTTCTAGTTCACTATGAAAAATATCTCATTTGAAATTTTCGGATTATGTTTCAACTTTATGAAAAAATCTCATTAATGTGTAAATGTAGTCAAAATTTCACTCAATTGAAAAACATTGCTACACTTCTATTCAAATGTCTAGTGCATGGACCATAACTTCAATAGATTAAAATGGGGTCCATTTTGACCACTGAAGTTAGAATGATATCAATCAGAACCAAATTTTAGGTCGCAAATGTCTCGAATTTGATTTGATATTGCTACGATGATATTATTGAGAAATGTCTTTATCAGAAAATTTTTATTTTTCTTTACTAAAACTAATAATATTTCTGTCGGCTTTCGAAAGTGTGTTTCATGTAGCTTGGCAGCACGAGTTATGAGTACCCACTTAATGCTCACGCAATTTGGGATCCTCATTTTGGTCAACCAGCTGGATGATTTGAACAATATTGTTGCAAATTAAAGAAGAGAAAAATTAGCTTCAATTGTGTTTAAAAAACAAAAACAATAAATACTCTGTTGTTTGTTTTCTCTCTCAAAAAAACAAAAAATTATCACCAATGAGTGTAGCTACAAAGGTTGCCAAGCGGTTCATAACGTACAAATATATATATATATATGTGGAAGACTTTACAATAGGGTGAATCTTTGCTATATTTAAATCTGTGATTTCTACTCCGTGGTGGTCGTAAGTTGTACAATTTTTGAAAGATAACATGTGAGTTTTATATAGTCATTTTTATGTTATTTATAATTTATTTATTTATTCAGGTAAAATAATTCTTATTCTTTTTTACGTTGAATAATAATTATCAATGAGTGCTCTTGTTTGAGTTTGTAACAAAATACTTCACACTTGACAATTGTAACTCTACACCTCAAGAAAGTGAAAAGACTCAGAGAGACTATTTTTGAGTTTGTAACAAACTTCTTCACACTTGACAGAAGTGACAATTCCAGCTATCTGGCCCAAATGGGCAATAGCCCAGCTGGTACAAGCCCCTCCCCTCGGGTGGCGGGGGTTCAAGTATGGGTGTGTGTTTGCTTAACCTAAAAATAAAAAATAAAATAAAAAAAATAAAAAAAAATGAAAAAAAAAAAATGAAATGTCAATGAGGGATAGCATGAAATGTCAATGAGGGATCAGACAAGAATAGACCACAAAGGTCCCCAAACTGCAATTAAGAAGCATGCGAAAAGGCTACAACAACTCAATCAGGAAAGATAAATAGTAGAGCTCCAAACCACAGCACACTCGTTTTTAGCAAGCAAAAAGTAGTAAATGCCCACATGTCAATGCGTGATCTACAGGACTGCAACATTATTGATAAGCAATTTATGAATTCACAGCCATGAACATGTCTATAAAACATGTGACACTATTGACATGTGATATTCTGATATAACGTGTGCGCTGAGCATGTGGTCCTCCTACACTCCTACTATAAACCCTAATCCCTGGAACTAAAAAAGACCACTAATTTCCAACCACAACTCTCTGAAAGAATACAATTCAATAGATCCAACAATAGTGTGGGGTTCTATCAACCAGTTATTGTTGTTCTCTGTCACTCTCAACTTGAAAATGATGGCAATTGGAATTCTTTGAGATAATGGTAGTCGCTGTACACAAAATATATTTATTTTGTTTTAAAAAATGTGAGGAAGATGATGTTTTCTCTTTCCATGTACCTGCAGATGCCTCGATAGTCCAGTGAGTTAGTACCTCCGGTAGACTTTGGAGTACCAAGTTTCGACTATCTGCATCTACTAATCTAACTTCTAACCCTTCTTGTCTTGTTAAAAAAAAAAAACTTTCCATGTACCTCCAATGGTAAGAAGATACCTATTAATATGATCATAACGGGGATTTAAGAAAATAATTGAATGGTTTCAAGTCCTATCCTCTCTGTTCTGTGCTGCTCAACTGTGACCAAGTCTAATGATGTTTGCGTAAGAGTTTAAGACAGCCCTCCTGATAATAACATCTAGAACGAACTCTGAGTATTTCAGAGTATTTGCTAGCCCAGTGCACAAAGCTCCTGCCATTACAGGGTTTGGGGAGGGTGAGACGTACAGTGAGTTACCTCAAGATGTGGAAAGGTTGTTTCTCGTTTCAAACCCGTGACATCAGAGTATGATATATGCCTAATTTTACATTCCCCAAGTTGCAGATGCTCTTAGAAACAGCCCAAAATTTCTTCTACTGTACACGGTGATAGTAGAAGCCTGCCCAAGTTCAAAGGCAGAAGTACTTCTCAGTGCACTCTCATCCTATCCATGACCACCGCCCCATGTCCCGAATTTCCTGTGAACAACCATCAATATTAACCTCCACCTATCAAAGAAAGGGAACAACCATGTAACAAATTGGTTCTTTTCAAGGCAGATTTGAGAGAAGTAGCCAAAGGTCAAACTGCCAAAGCACTCTCACAGTCCTATTGGGTGCTCAGGAAGTGATTTCATCAACCAATTTGTTCTCAAGACCCTGAATTTGTGAGAAACCACATCAAAGAGATCAATAAACCACCCTCCTCAGACATGAGGATACAAAACTCAACCAAAGGACAACCATGATATCAACTACCCCATGGAATGCAGGATTAAAAGCCACAAAGTGCAATGCATGCAGACTGCCGATCTCAGGACATTAAATAAGTTGCGCTACCTATTTCACTATGATAGAACTACTAGATAAACATCAACTCCATACTTTTGCAATTCTAAACAATAATTGGAACATTGACCTGCATTTTTTTTGTATATTGGGATATCTCAAATAAGCATTGAAAGATGAAACTGAAACATACCAATGCGATCCAGTGGGACAAAAAGATGTGGTGTCATACAGGGAAAAAAACCTAGTTAATAATATATTATAATTCAGATCATATTATTATTAGGAAAAAATATTCAGGTCATATTACACATTGTACCTTCACAATAAGGTCACATGTAATAGACAAGGAAACCAACACATACACTTCAAGGAGAAGGAAGGGAAAAGCCAATAATGATAGAGGTGCACCCATTTCATACCGCAAATGAAACTCAGTTGCTTTCCATACTCGAGCCACTTGCACAGACGTAAGCATAATTGGAAATGTTTCTACACAAGACAAACAAGTTCGACATAAACATCAATTACCTAAAATCTACCCATTGGCTTTAAAACTCCAGTTAATCTTACAGAACCCATATACTTCTGAACATGTAGGTAGAGTGTTAAGACGTATATAACTCATAGTCCCGTTAAAGTAAATAAATAAATAAAGAAAGAGAGAACAGTGTGAAAAAACTAATTGCACCCTTCCTATTTCTAATTAAGGTCCATCAGTCAGTTTTTCTTTATAGTAACTAAATAAACAAAAATTATTATTGTCTGCTTGTGTATTTGAATGTAAATAAAGAACATAGAAGGTGATGAAACAATGCTACAAAGTAATATCACAGTAGCTTGAGCTCGGCATGCTAAAAACTAATCTCTAAGCCTTTAAGCATTAGCTTTGAAGATCTATCAAAGAAATCATGCATTCAACCAAAAACCCAAGACTGTGTACCAGAGCCCCTATCTTATCTTTTTGTAAGTGACCTAACTAGACACATATACAAAAGGGTCCATGTGCATGCCACTTGAAAATAATGAAATGGTTTCAACTGTTGAACTTCAAGGACAAAAACATTCATGAAACTATGTAGACATGTTGAGAATTGTAATTAAAGGTATTTTAGAATCCCGTAAGCGTATAAAAGGAGAAGAATGGAAATATCGATTACATTTAGATTTATCTGACCTCTCTCTTAAAATAGAAACTCCCAAAAGTAAGATTTGAGTTTAGATTAAGGTTTTATTTGTAGGAATTTTTTTTTTTTTCGGGGGGCACCTAACAAAGGAAGGTTCTGTGCATAGAATAATAACTATATATTAGGAAAATTTTTGGAAAAAAATGGGTGGGGGCAGCATAGTCCCCATTTAGGTCCGCCCATGTTCACAGAGTTGAGTTGAGCTGATTAGTGTGCTTAGGGATGTCAATTTGACCCGCCCCATCCCGCCCCTATTGGGATGGGTTTGGGATCATCCTAATTGGCTTAGGTGCAGGTTCGGGAAGAGAGTGTAAAAACCCGCAAAGCCCCAAACCGGCCCCAATTAATAATTAATATTTAAATAAATAATATTTTATTAGCTATAATTTTTCTTTTTCCTATATTTCTTACGATAATTTTAAATTTCAACAACATTTTTGTTATTTTGATTGTAAAATATTTGACTATACTTCAAAAAAAATATGAAATTTATTCAAGATTTAATTATTTTTCTTAAAAAATATGTATATCGGGAGCCCCTTGATGGGTAGTGTAAAGCCTGATAGATACTGTACACTAAGGCCCAATTTTTTTAAAGGGTATATTGGTTATTTCCGCACTTGTTATGTTGCCTTAGTACGAGGGTATTTATTCATTCTGAACTCTCTGTATCTGTGGCCGTTTTTTTATCATCATAGTAAAATCCCTGCAACCCTTGAATGTAGTCCTGAATTTTGGATAAACGAAGTAAAATCTGTGTGTTCTTGTTTTGTGTGTGTTTGATCTATTTCTTATGTTTTCTGTCTAATTTCGCAATAACTGGTATCAGAGCCATTAAGTTCGAGTGGGAGCGATGGGTACAGAAGAAGGAAAGATCAAGATTAACAAGTTCAATGTTGCAGATTTTGGATTCTGGAAGATGCAGATTAAAGATTACCTGTATAAGAAGAAGTTGTATCAGCCTCTTTCCATAGAGAAACCAGAAGAGATGAAGGATGATGATTGGGCTCTTCTTGATCAGCAGGCACTAGAGGTCATTCGATTGCCACTGTTGCACAACGTTGCCTTCAACATAGCAAAGGAGACGACAACAGCAGGTCTGATGACTGCCCTATCAAATATGTATGAGAAACCCACTGCGTCTAACATGGTATATTTGATACAGCGATTATTCAACCTAAGAATGTGAGAAGGCGATTCAGTGACTGACCATTTGAACGAGTTTAACATTGTTACGACTCAGTTAAACCCTGTAAAGATCAAGTTTGATGATGAGATTAAGGCGTTGCTTCTCTTATGCTCTTTACCAGAAAGCTAGAACGGTACTGTTACAGCAATGAGTAGTTCTTCAGGAAAAAGAAAATTGAAGTTTGATGATGTTCGAGACTTGATCCTTAGCGAAGATATTCGCAGAAGGGAAACAGGGGAATCATCTAGATCTATTTTCAATACCGAGGGCAAAGGAAGAACTTCTGAAAGATCAAACTTGGATCGCAGTAAATCTAAATCCAAACACAGAAACAAGTCGAAAATTAAAACCTGCTGGAACTGTGGAAAGAAGGGGCATTAAAGGTTTGAGTGTTAAGCACCAAAGAAGAAGAGCGAAGGAAAACAGGAATCTGTAAACGCCGTCAGAGAAGAGATTGTTGATTCTCTGATTTTGTGTAGATAATCCAGTTGAGTCTTGGGTTCTAGACTCAGGTGCTTCCTTTCACTCTACCCCGCATCGTGAAATCATGGAGAACTATGTTGGTGGTGATTTCGGAAAGGTTTATCTGGCTGATGATGAGCCTTTGAATATTGTGGGTAAAGGTGATGTTCGGATCAGGTAACCTAATGGGGCTGTATGGAAGATTCAAAATGTGAGGCATGTTCCTGGCTTAAAGAGAAATTTGATCTCTGTAGGACAACTTGATGACAATGCGCATGCAGTTAATTTTGTAGGTGGCTTGCCAAGGGATCCTTGGTCGTGGCTCGTGGAAGCAAGACAGGTACTCTATACATGACAACAAACACCAAGAACGCCATTGTTGTTGCTGATGCTTGCGTAGATTCAAACCTGTGGCATTGTAGACTAGGTCATATGAGTGAGAAGGGGATGAAAGTACTTCTGTCGAAAGGAAAATTGTCGTGTATTAAATCAGTTGAAATTGGTTTGTGTGAGGACTGTATCTTCGGGAAACAGACGAGGGTCAGTTTTTCAAAGGTTGGCAGGACACCTAAGACGGAGAAATTGGAGTTGGTTCATACAGACGTGTGGGGGCCTTCTCCAGTTTCATCTCTTGGCGGCTCATTGTATTATGTCACATTTATCGATGATTCTACAAGAAATGTATGGATTTATTTTTTGAAAAATAAATCTGAAGTATATGATACTTTCAAGAAGTGAAAGGCCACGGTGGAGAATGAGACAGGCTTGAAGGTGAAGTGTTTGAGGTCTGATAATGGTGATGAGTATGAAGAGAAAGGCTTCAAAGAGTTCTGTGCTATTAACGGGAACAGAATGGAGAAGACTGTTCCTAAAACCCCGTAACAGAATGGGGTTGCAGAACGCATGAACAGAACCTTGAATGAGCGTGCTCGGAGTATAAAGATACATGCTGGATTGCCTAAGATGTTTTGGGTTGATGCAATTAACATTGCAGCATACTTGATCAATCAGGGACCTTCTGTTCCTTTGGATGGAGGCTTACCAGAGGAGACTTTGAGCAAAAAAGAGGTAAATCTTTCACATCTAAAAGTGTTTGGTTGCGTTTCATATGTACATATAAGTTCTGATGCTAGAAGCAAGCTTGATCCAAAGTCAAAAAAATGTACTTTTATTGGGTATGGCACTGATGAGTTTGGTTATCGGTTTTGGGATGATCAAAACCTGAAGATAATTAGAAGCAGAAATGTCGTGTTCAATGAGAAAGTAATGTATAAGGATAGGTTAGCATCAGATTCTACTAATGCGGGTGCTCATGTTGAAAATGATGAGTTTGTTGAGTTGGAGGAAATCTCCGAGGAAGATGTGCAGAGGAGAGTTCAGAACAATCCAGAAAATATAGTTCCACGGGTGGAACAAGGCACACCTATTATTGCATTGAGACGATCCTCTAGAATCTCCAAACCTACACAACGTTTCTCGCCTTCTTTACACTATTTGTTGTTGTCTAATGGTGGTGAACCAGAGAGTTATGATGAAGCAGCGCAGGTTGGTGATTCAACCAAGTGGGAGTCAGCTATACAGGATGAGATGGACTCACTCATATCAAATCAGACATGGGAGCTAACTGAACTACCAAAGGGCAAGAAGGCTTTACATAACAAGTGGTTTTATAGAATCAAGGAAGAACATGATTGCAACAAGTGTTACAAAGCCAGATTGGTTGTCAAGGGATTTCAGCAAAAGCATGGTGTTGACTACGCTGAGATTTTCTCCCCGGTTGTGAAGTTGACTACAATCAGATTGGTGCTTGGAATTGTGGCTGCAGAAAATTTGCATTTAGAGCAGTTAGATGTGAAGATTGCCTTTCTCCATGGTGATTTAGAGGAAGATATCTATATGAGACAACCACAAGGATTCACAGTGTCAGAAAAACAAGGTTTGGTATGCAAGTTGAAAAATAGCTTGTGTGATTTAAAGCAGGCCCCCAGACAATGGAAGTTTGATGGATTCATGTGCAGTAATGGTTTCACAAGATGCTATGCAAATCATTGCTGTTTTGTTAAGAGGTTTAACAACAGCTACATTATCTTACTATTGTACGTTGATGATATGTTGGTTGTTGGGTCAAGTCTCGAGAAGATTAAAAATCTCAAGAAACAATTGTCTGTGCATTTTGCGATGAAAGATTTGGGTGAAGTAAAACAGATTCTTGGCATGAAGATTTGCAGAGACAGAGTAGGTGGTACTCTAAAGCTGTCACAAAGAGAGTATGTTAAAAAGGTTCTTAGCAAGTTTAACATGCAAGATGCAAAACCAGTGAGCACCCCATTAGCTAGTCATTTCAGACTAACTAAGGAACAGTCACCCAAGACATAGGAAGAATGAGCATACATGGAAAGAGTTCCATATGCCTCAGCTATTGACAGCATAACGTATGCCATGGTTTGTACCATACCGGACATAGAACATGCAGTGGAAGTTGTGAGCAGGTACATGAGTAATCCAGGCAAGCATCATTGGGAGCCGGTAAAATGGATCCTTAGATACTTGAAGAATACCGCAGAAACATCACTATATTTTACTGGGAAGGGAGTTGCATTGCATGGTTATGTTGATTCAGACTTGACTGGTGATATGGACAATAGGAAGAGTACTACGGGGTATGTGTATATTTTGGGTGGTACAGCGGTGAGTTGGGTCTCTCAATTGCAGAAGATTGTGGCTCTATCGACCATAGAAGCTGAATATGTTGCAATTACAGAAGCTAGCAAGGAGATGATTTGGTTGCATGGTTTTTTGGAAAAATTGGGTAAGAAGCAAGAAAATAGAATTTTGTATAGTGATAGTCAGAGTGCTATTCATCTTGCTAAAAATCCGGCATTCCATTCCAGAACAAAGCATATACATTTAAGGTACCATTTCATACGCTTACACTTAGAGGATAAAGTTTTATCACTTGAGAAGATCCATGGGAGTAAAAATCCAACAGATATGTTAACTAAGGCAGTGACAATTGAGAAACTGAAGCTTTGTTTAGCTTCAGTTGGTGTTCAAGCACGAGGACAAAGGAGTGAGTTGATGTGGTGTTTTACTATGTATGAAGGCATATGGGAGTTGACAGTTTGATGTTTATCAGTCTCCAAGTGGGAGATTGATGGGTAGTGTGGAGCCTGATAGATACTGTACGCCAAGGCCCAACTTTTTTGGAGGGTATTTTGGTTATTTCCGCACTTATTATGTTACCCTAGTGCGAGGGTATTTATTCATTCTGAACTCTCTGTATCTGTGGCCGTTTTTTTATCATCATAGTGAAATCCCTGCAACCCTTGGACGTAGCCCTGAATTTTGGGTGAACCAAGTAAAATCTGTGTTCTTATTGTTTGTGTGTTTAATCTATTTCTTGTGTTTTCTGTTTAATTTCGCAATACCCCTAACCCTCCCTGACCCTGATGCGAGGCGCCCCAAACCAGGTTTGGGAAAAAAAATTCATTGGTGGGGCGGGTTTGGGAAAGGGGAGCCCCGTCCCGAACCCGCCCCATTGACATCCTTAAGTGTGTGCTCAAAAGGATAAGTTGAAACATCTTTTTCCCACTAACACACAAGTAAATAGGAGCACAAAATTGGCTTTCAAAGCGACTTATAGAAAGCAAAATAAGTAAATTAGCATATAAAATGGTTTGACTTTGGATATTTAGAATGGGCATAAATAAGAATGGCATCAGGATGTCTATATCACTATGCTTAAAATGCATGAAACAAACTCATCTCAACTAAAAGGTCATCACTCAATGCGTTCTCTATCAACCGAGGGTATTGGGAAGAGTACATAGAATTATGTATAGGCATAACGGAGATAACACTGAGTAATGGCCCTTTTAGTTGAGCACTGCACGGATTAGCATTGAGTCGGGTACTGCCATGCTGGACACCATCACTCACAATTTAATATAATTTGCACAAAATGGCTACCCAAAAATCAAACCTGTGTTCTCACACTTAGCAACCCAAACTTTACCACCATACCCGCTAAAACCTTTATTTGAAAATAATAATGGAGTTCTATCCAGATTTTTAGCACTGCAGAAAGATAATCAAAACATTTCCCTTTTCACAGAGCATGATCAGATTTGAACAAGTTTGACTGACTTCAAGCCTAAAGTCGTCAAACACACTTTCTTTCACTGAAGTATTTAATCTTATATCCAAGTACATAAAGCTAAATCATTTTCAATGCAAGGTACTCACACCGAGGATATTAAGTAGAAGCATTGACATTCATACCAGCAGAATAAAAATTCAATAATTCCTAGCTATGTGCTTCCAAGAGCATCACTTCCAGCAGTGGGCTTGCGGTTCAGGTAACGGATAACAGCATCCTCAACCCTATAGTCAAACCAAAAAATTAGTTAGTTTACTTGGAGACCATTTTACAGGAAGAATTTAAGACAGCATTCCTTCTGAGACGAACGCTGACCAAGGGTTACACAAAAAATTAGTATTTAAGTCATGTTCATTTATAAAACTCATAATCAAGGAAGAAATTCTTTCTGAGATAAACATCAGAAAGGGGTATTCTCAAATGCAATGGTTAAACAAAAACTACAGCATTCAATATTCATATATAATTCTCATAGCAAGAAAAAAACTAAAGCAGGCTTAAATAGCCTTGTGATTAAAAACTACAGTTCAAAAAATACAGTGACTAAAAATCATATCATTGAGGGAAGCAGCCAAAAAAAATTTAAAAATCGAAATGACAATGTATTTAATGTTGGTCCTTTCCATTAATGAAACATATTGAATAAGATTGGCTAGTAGTAAACCCACCAAATCAACTATATCTGCAGAAATAGCAGGATTTGCATGCAACATTTTGTTTAGCACGTTAAACATTGTCCAATAATCCTCTTCCTTTAAGTTTGTCAACTAATATTATATGTACATCTATATAGATATGGATACATATGCATGCGCCCACGTATAGCATTGACAAAATAAAACAAAGAGAGAGAAGCTTACCATGGCTGACCATAGAAGTCAGAGCGGCGCTCTTTCTCTGCACTACGACTAGCATCTCCAGCTACAAGCTTTAGATCCCTGCTCTGAGATGCAATTAAAGAATTGATAAACTCCGCCGGAGACTGACTAAATCCAAGAAAGAAAGCCCGCCTCCGACGATGTTCGTGGATCTTCTTTAGAGCAGAACAAATAGCATCATCACAAGCATCAATCTCCTTGTGCTTCTCTAAATTCGCCAAGAAAGCAGACATTTCCTTCTCTAAAGAAAAGGGGACATCAACCAGTACATCATAACAAGTATTTCCTGTTGGATTATTCCCAGAAAGCTTGATCTTGTGCTCCAAATGTATAGGCTGTGGAGGAATTAAATGCTGTGATATCTTCTGTGGAACCATAGCAAATTTCATCTTCTCTTCCCCAAACACTTTCCGAAGTGGTGGATCACACATAAAGAAAGACGGGTCACTTGGAATCTGCAACTTCCTAGCCTTCACATAATGCCAGAATGCAGCTATAATTCTGGGGCGGGTTTCTACCTCAATTCCAAGAACTTCACTCAAGGCCTGTGAAAGTTTAAATTTCTCAGGCACATAATTCATTTCTAGTCTAATAATTGCAGTGAATTCCTTATCCCCTTTCCTCTTCACCTCAAATCCCTCATGAAGTGCAGGCGATCGAGCACTTTCCCACAAAATTACATGATTGTCTGAATAGAGACTCTGATCCAAATAAATGGTAATTTTCTTGAAGAAAGATGAGAATTTTGGGTATGAAGAGCCCTGTCTCTGCATTGTCCCAGCTGCATCAGGATCTACCCCATCTTCCAATATCCTGCCAATTATCTTAAGTGACCAAGATGGGGGCTCAGCATTCTTCTTCTCGGGAGTCATCTGTGTCTGGTTGGCAAAAGTGTTGAAGACATAAATTCGAAGGGTTTTTTGAACACGAGGAGGGTTCTTAAGGGACTCCTGGATGTCAATCTTCTTTCTCAAAAGGGCAGCATCTACCCGAGCCTCAAATTCAAGCAGCTGAGTATAAAGAGCTGATTCTGGTAGAAGTGCAGCTACTTTATCTGGAATCTGCTTCTCAGGAAGCTTCCGCTTTTTTCTTCGAGCCGCAGGTGTTAATTCCATGGTCTTTAACGGTGAAGCTGAGCCAGTACCAGAGGAACCAGGAGGTCGAGAAGGCGGTTTCTGAGGAGCACGTTTGGCATTTCCCGTGCCGGGTGCCGAAATTAAGGGTGAAGAGACACCCACATTACTAGTCCCAGGGTTTTGCAACTGTGTATGGGGCAGGGGTTGAGCTTGTAACTGTGCTTTGAACTGGGCATGAGCTGCCTGAGCCTGAGCCTGAGCATGAGCTTGGGCATACTGTGCCTGAGCCAGTGCTTGAGCTTGAGGCTCAGACAGTTGAAAATGACCCGGAAAATGAGGCCCGCCTTGTGTTTGATGGTGTGACTGTGAGAGAAGATGACTCTGGTGGTTCATAGGCATAGATTGTGGCATTGCCCCAGGACTCCCAAAAGGGATTGGAACCCCAACATTCTTCATTGGATTGTTGTTGTTCATCGACATATCAAAATATAATTCACTCAATTCTTCTAGGGTTTAAACAAGCTTAGGTTTGTATACCTAATCCAAACCAAACAATGAAGCTTCTCAAAACCTTGACTTCAGCAGAGTAAGACAAAGCTCGACTGTATTCTGTATATAAATTTTGAGTTTTGACAAGTTTATAGAGCTAAAGACCAAAGCTTTTGAAGCTTACCAATTTTCAGCTAAATGAAATTATATGAGTTTAAATCTTTTCTATAACAGCTCTTAGGAAGAACAAGAATGAATCTTGAAACCCTAGATTTAGAGAGATACAGTGAATAATAATCTGAAAAAAATGCGATTTCAAAGCAAAATAAATGATCTTACAGAACAATTCGCAGTTCAAATTCCTTCTACTTCGTTTCTTTTGCCTCTTGAGATCCGCAACAGAGCTTGCGAACTGCTCGCTCTCTCTATATCTCTCGCTTTCTGTCTCTTCTCTATCTCGCTAAGCCCCCTCTCTTTTATTGGGTCGTCAAAGTTACGGAAGTGCCCTCGTTCGAAATTGTTTCGTAAATTGCAAATATAACCCTTTAAGATCTGAAAATTAACTGATACCTGTATAAATGCATAAAAACTTTTTAAACTTTAAAAAAAAAAATTGCACCTTACCTTCCTACCAGCGCCTCTCTAATGGCACTTGGGCCCACCAAGTCTCAACCAACATACAACACAATACAAAAATATAAAGAAGGCACACACAGTTTACAGAGACAAGCCCAACCTTTGCTCATATTAAACATATTACAAAGGACACCAAACTCGTACAAAGAACCAAAGCTAAGAATACACACTCTGTGTTTCACTCTCTTCCTAAACCATGCCCCATGCACCCCAATATATAGGCCCTCAAGAAAACTGCCCATAACTGGTTATATGTATCTGCATATAGATACACACGGGATAAGGTTGGACTTTAAGATACATAAATTTAATACTGACCCCAAATATTTATATCTTTATATGACTTTTTTTCCTTCTCTTTTTCTACTATCATTCACGTTTTACAATAAATTCTAACCAATATAGAAATTTAATATTAGACCCAAAAAAATGTATCATTTAATAATTTTTCTCCCCTCTTTCTTTCACTCTCATTCACGTTTTTTACACAAGCACTAAAAATATTTTTTGGTAAGTTAACCAACACTAAAATATTAAATATCTATTTAATGTTGTTGTTTGGGAAAATGATTAAAACTTTCCATTTTTTTATTTTTTATTTTTATGTTTTATCTTCTTCTTTTCAGGAAGTCTTCTCCTCCCCATCTCATTACAAGTTTACAGTTGTTTTGAGCACATTTTTATTTTATTAAAAATTTTGTAGAACTATTAGATATTGGGTTCATAGTTAGTAAAATACGGTACGGAAAAAATACGGGTACGAAAACGTACGAGCATAATTCGATATTTTTTTTAAAACATGTTTAAAAAATTCAGCAAAAAAATACGAAAACGTAAAAATACAAATACGGATACGTACGTGTATAATACGTTGTATATTCTAAAAATTCGGGATAAAAAATTCGGCTATATACATCTTATTATTTTCTTATATATATATATATATATATATATTTGTAAGGACAATAAAGAATATGTAACAAATAATAAAATAAATATATTACAGTTGACACTATCACAATAATCATAAAAAAAAATACTTAAGTATATAATGTGATATTCTACAAAAACATCTAGCGAGTGTGGTGACCTACAAACTTCTGAAATAATAATAATAATAAAGATATTAACAAAATTTAAAAGAACTTACAACAAAACAAAAAATCTATAAATATTTACAAACATCAATAAAAACTTACGATTCTTCAAGTGTTCCACAAAAAAATAAAAAATAAAAATAAATAAATAAATATATATATATATATATATATATATATATATGTCATTGCTTTGCACAACAAATAACATTATTTTGATGGCTTGAAAGATAATGGCTATACTGAGCAAAGAGAGTAGAAAAGACAATAACTTGCACAACAAATAACATTATTTTGATGGTTTCAAAAATAATGACTATACCAAGCAAAAGAGGTTAGAAAAGACAATAACTTGCACAACAAATAACATTATTTTGATGGTTTCAAAAATAATGACTATATCAAGCAAAAGAGGATAGAAAAGACAATAGTTTGTGTTTCAAAAAAAATACGCTATTAGAAACGTGAACTTCGTAAATGAAAAAAAATAATAATTAGGAAAACGAATAAACGCGTTAGATACGGGGTGATGAAAAAAACGCGTATTTTATCATATCTTTCAACTTTGATCGGCAAATATAAATATTTTCCCAAAATTCATACCTACGCGTTTAATTCGCGTATCCGAATTAACTAACTAGGATTGGGTTTTCTAAATGAGGTTCAATGGTTCTTTTTCTTTAATTATTTTTTAATTTTATTAACTTTCGTTATTATAAACTTGTGTGTATATATATTTGTATATTTTGTTTTTGGGTTGTGATTAATTTTATTTATATTGTTGAAAAAGTCACTTTATATTTTTCTCTTAAGGCTCAAATTAGATTGAGCCGCCCCCGCTTCTTACACCACTTTTTTAGCAAATAATCAACTTAAAATGTTTAAAATTTTGCAAACCACTTTCCTCGGTTAATGATCAAATGGAAAAAAATTTCATTGCGTTGGTTGCACAATGTAACGGGCACATCCAATCGTTCATATTATACAAATGGTCCGACTGACCTCGTTACATGGTGCAACGGGTGCAATGAAATTTTTCCCGATCAAAATGAGAAAAGCATTAATGCTATATTACGAAATTCCCGCATAAAGCATAAAGGAAGGCACTGAAGTATCAAAGAAACTTGAAAGCATGAGCGTCCTTAGAATATATGTTCATTTACTTATATATATTTATTCAACTTAATGCATTATTATTTTAATTTATTAAATACCAGTTATATTAAAAAAATTAATATAATATTACTTAAAGTAATGAAATAATTATATTTCATTGTTTTTATCAAATTAAATTTAAGGAGCAGTAGTTATATTATTTAAGTGTGTCTATTATAGCCAAATATATTCGCTTAGTGGTAGTTTCTTTTGGTTTCTCCTAAGCAGACAATTCCAAATTTCTCCAAGCACGTGATTTCCCCTAAACAGACCATCACCGAGCACGTGTTCTCAAACGCCACATAGCATAATAATTTTTTTAAGACTCTTGACTGTACAATAAGAAAGTAATAACTTTTCGTGTGATATGTAGGTTTTTTTTGTAGTTGAAGGAGGTTTTTTTGCAATTAGACTTAACTCCAACCTTTGATTTAACAATTTAAGAAAAGATATTTAAATTCACTAACAACCGGTTTAACTTATTTATCATTATATATATATATTTTTTAAATGTAGAAACCATTCTAACTTGGTGATCTTTGGTTCACAAAAATTGTAGACAAATTTTATATCAGTGCAATGAGCTGCAAACTATTCATATTATTAATTTGAATCCATGTATTTTGTGAAAATCAAACTCACAAACAAGTTAAACAACCCAAAACGTCTGAGTTTACTTCTCTTTCAGTGGGACCCTTAGCCACCGAATCATTCAATATAAATTATATATTTCAAGAACTACATAAATTTTTATGCTCCGTTTGGTAAAAAGGAAGGAAAATAGGGTGGCGGAAGATAGGAAAAAAGAAGCAAACTTCCTTGGTTTGGCAGAGAAGAAGCGATGAGACAAGATATTATAAAAAAATTAAATTATAAAACTTTTCTTATAATTAACATACTATATTCTCTTATCTCATAAAAAACAAAATAAAGTATTATTTCGTTATCTTCTCTTCCATCCAACCAAATAAAAAGAGAGAAGTACACAATTTATTCCTTATAGATATTTTATAATTTCATTCATCTTTTCTTCTCTTCCTTCTATCAAATTTTCATCTTTCTTACCGAACGGAGCATTATAGTTCTGAAAAACGAAAAGACACGGACTCAAAAACCAAACAAATCCAACTCACAACCGGGTTCCCAACCTCTAAAACTTCCGATATCCATAAAAGGCCCGATCCAATTCCAATCAAACGCATGGTTACCCACATTAAAAAGCCCAGCCCAAACTCACCAAGCATATGTATCACACCAGGGTCTCATTTCCGAAACCCTAGCTCATTTCTCTTTGGTTTGAGTACGGAACTCGTTCAGCACCAACAGCAACAATGGTAATTCACTTCACACCAAATTACATTCTCTCTCCTGTTATTTCACATCTTCCTTCGAATATTAATATGTGTGTGTGTGTGTATATATATAAGTGGCATGTATGATTTTTATATGTAATGTGGATGTTTTTGAGATCTGTTGTTGGTTGTATTAACATTTCAGGTGATGTATTCAAAGAAACCGAACAACCCCACCAAATGTAAGCTCTCAAAACTTTGTTGTACCCAAGTTTCCGAATATATATATATATATTTTTCCGGGTAGTTAGCAAGAGCAATGATGAAGATTTAATTTCCCTTTCCTCAAAATATAGATATGTTCATGAGATCTTATATATACATAGAGAGAGAGAAAGTTACTAATATTTATCAAATGGGATCTCCCTCCATTGGATCTAAAAATAAAAAATTCAATTATGAGCTTCATATGGTATTTTAATTTTAATTTAATCATTTTTACAAAAAAATAAAAAAAATCTTCACATATATGATCAAAATACCTTTTGGATTCTAGATGTAGAGCAGAGTCATAATACTTGGACATGCCAAAAATGCAAAATTTATCATTGTCTAAGCTTTTGTCAATTTTGAGAGTAATATGGAGATGATTTAAATTCAATGCTGAAAGATTGAGGAACAAAAAGCTGCCATTTACGCAAGTAGAGATCATGGAGAAATTTTCAAGTAGAAAATGACAAATTTTCCGGATTATTCTTATTTGGTTTCATGTTTTCATGGTGTCTTTGTTTCAGCTTGCAAAGCCAGGAGGGGCTCTCTTCAATTTAAGGTGCCTGAGTTGATCTAGACTTAATTTTTTGAGTTGAATCGTGTGTGTGTGTGTGTGTGTGTGTGTGTGTGTGTGTATGGGTTTGAAATTGAACTCTATGTATTAACGAGCAGGAATCGTTGAGGTATTTGTGTAAGTGGGTATAATCCATGTAATCGCTAAGACTATCAAAATGAAATAATTGACTGCAAGTATACGGGAAAAAAAGATGAACCCTTTTTTTTTTTTTTGTAATTTGTATGATGCAATTGGAGCTTATCGGTAGAAACGAATCACATTAGATATGGTGTTTCAGTGCTGTCACTCTTAATTGTTCAATATTATAATGAACCATCTATATTGTCTTTGTCACAGCATCCACAGCCTGTAGATAATGCAGTCTTGCTTCATCAGGAGATAATGGAATTGTCTGCTCTCTCTGCTCAATTTGAGGCAGGGTTTGCTGATCTG